GAAGGCCAAGACCCCTACGCGGCCGTGCTGCATTTATGCGCGGTCCGCGCCAGCCCCGTAGGGGTATTTTTGTCCGATTTTTCTGGCATAGTATAAATAGAATATTTTATTATTTCTAGGTTAAGTTTTAGACATCAGATAGCAGCAGCACTCGTGAGATTCAAGTTTTAGCCTATTTTGGGCATTTTAGCCTTGTTTTAACGTGAATTCGTGTAGATTAGCTTCCTAGTTAATTACTATGTTGATTTTATCTACTTCTTCTTTAATTTCTGTTGCTATTATGGCTAGCTAAACCCATTAGCTGGGTTGTGGCTCAACCCTAGTGTGGGTAATTCATGGGTGTGATTGTTTAGTGCTTGAATGATGTTGGGTGTTTGATATTTGGGTTGATTTTATGTTTTAACTAGGATTTGGTGGTTGCAAACACTAAGTCTAGCTTAGTGAGTCTTGACTCTTCTTGAGAAAGAGTGTCTATGACTCCAAAGTTAACCCAACAAGGAATTGGGATGGACCCATGAGAATGGTAGTCCCAATTAACGGGTAAGACCTTGAGAGAGTGATTACCCAACTTGAACCCTAAGTTGCTTGGTTTGTTAGCCTACCCAATTGGTCTCGAGAGAGTCAATTGGGCAAAATCACTCTTTCTACCGAGAGGTGTGAGAGTGAGTGCTATCGTGCAACGGTTATATCATAAGCCCCATAATCATCATTCTCGTATTAGGGATCTCTACCCGTTAGTTAACCACCAAGGTAAATGCCACGACCTTAGTGCCTTTCTCTATCTTGCATACAATCTAGATTAAATCTCTTCGCATAATTTAGTTATAATTAGTAGTTGTTAAATTGTAGTTGATAATCACAAAAACCCAAAAATGATAGAAGATCAATTAGAAGCAAACACGCAATTCTAGGATAAACAAGTATCCAACTCCCTTTCTAGCTCCCTGTGAAAATTGACCCCGATACCACTATTGGGTAAAAGTATTAGCGCCCACTCTTCCTAAGGTTAAGTCCGCTGCGACCTAATCAGATACTCATTGAGTACATGTTGTTTACGTACTCGTACTACACTTCTGTGCATTTTTGTTGCACAGGTATATTTATTTCTAGCAGCGCACCGGGCGTAGCAGTGCGGATGATTTGGGGCTAGGTGAGTTGCACTATTCGAGGCGGCCCGCAGCTAGTATAGCCCTCTTCAGTACATTGTATTTATTTCCTGTCCATTGTATTCCGGACGGATGTTGTCTTTTACTTCCTTATCAGTAGATGCTCATGCACTTGTGACACCGGGTTCTGGGATAGTTTGAAGTATTGTATTAACTGCTTATCATTTAAATATTATTTGAGACTATATTCTTTAATATTGCTAAACTTGAAGGAAAATCATAGATTTCAGAAGTATTAAAACGAGAATTTGATTAAGTAACTTGGTTGGCTTGCCTGACAGCAGTGTCCGGCGCCATCACGACCTTTAGTGGATTTTGGGTTGTGACACATGTATAATGATGTATAACTTTGTATAAACTTATATATATAATTTCTAATAATGTATATCAGGAAAAAAAAAAAAAAAAAGACAAAGAAGAAGAGAAGAAGAAAGTGTCAAACATCCATGGATGCCTACTATACACGTACAATGTATATACACACTTATACATTAAAAATATATCTAATTTATACAATATTGTACGCATATATACATACTTATACATATTTATACAATATTGTATAAGTTTGTATAAACACCACCTATACAAGTTTACACCAGAAAACACCTTCTGTCCATCACCACATTACAGTTTTCGGTGGTTGCTGGTGTTAAATTTTTCCGGCGAGGTTTTGGCATTCAAATCTGGGCTTCACCAGTAGCAAAGGATGAAACAAAAACTCAGAGAAATAAGAAAATATGAGACGAGGTCGCCGGAGATGCTCTTTTAGGCAAGATCTGATAGTTTTAGGCCAGATCTGATAATTTTTGGACTGATATGCCAAATTTTATTCTGGTTCCTTAACCTCTTTTTGTCAATTAACTCAAAAATCGAAATCTAATTGACATAGCATGCGAGGATTATCACGAGTGTGTACAAAAAAATTATGTAATTTTAGGGAGAAGGAAGAGAGAGGCGAGTGAAGAGAGATTGAGTACGCTGGGAAAGAAGAAAGAAGAAAAGAAAAAAACCCTAGAAGTATGTCTTTAATAATGGGCTAAAGACTGAAAAGTTTCTTTCAAGATATATACAACTTGGGCCAAACCGGGTAAAGGCTTCAAACCTGGGCCATTTTTAGTTGGGTTGCTGTGCCAAGTGATTAAAAGCGTAATTCTTTCTAAAAAAAATTAATCTTTAAACGATTACGTACTTAGGTAATCGTCATCCCATATGTATTATTTCTGAGTTGTTTCTAGTGATATATTTATAGTTTTAAATTAAAAGTTATAAAAAAGGATGTATGTCCATGTGATATTGAAGATGCTACGACAAACTAAGGATTAAATCTCGACAATATTGTTAGGTCATGGGCAAACATTACAAAAGAAAGAGTAATTTCTTAAAGATATTAGATAGTGACATGCAAAGCGATCATAAGGTCGACTAGAGATATTGAAGGCAAAGTACAAAGGGAAACCAAGAGTGAGGGTGAAGGCAAGTATGAGTGATCGTCCTAGTGGATTGTTCGCGTATTTTGTGTACCATCTTAGCTCGGGTTTAAGCTTGGGCACATGGTTTTCGTCACGCTCAAGGGAATTAGTGTTGGAGTGATGACGACGATGACTATATTTCCATGAGAAGTATGGAACTAGAAGTGCAGAATGGAGGATAAAACCAACAGTGTCATCTACCCACTGGTAATCACTAAAGGCATGGTGGCCACATTCATGGGCAATCACCCATATTCCAGTGCAAACACAACCTTGAACGATCCAGTAAATCGGCCATGCTTTGTAACTACACGGGGATGGAAGGAAATGGAAGTGAGTGGCGGCGATGTAGTAAAAGATGGAGACAAGTATGAGATCTTGAACAAGATAAGAAAACGAGCGAATAAGAGATCGATGAAAGCAGCGAGGAGAGCGAGGAGGAATGGCCTTCTTGATGTCACCAATTGTAAAAGAGGGCTTTGAAAATGGCACTCTTTGGAGAGGATTTTTCTTTTGTTCAGTTTTAGTTGGAGCAGACATATTGCCACCAGCTCCCATTTTTGTTCTAATACTTCCTTTTTGCCTTACCTGAAAGCTGGAGATTCCCTCTCCACTTCCTTCCTTCCTTATAGAAATAGAAAAGGAGTTACTCAACAAGTAAAGATATAGATCTGGACAAAATTAATATTGTAGTAGTTAATGAACTATTATTCCATATGCTTTTGATTCCTGCTTTTTCATTATTAAAACTGTCTTGTTGTATGATTATTTTAAAATTTCATGCAGCAACTAAAAAAGTGATATAGCTCATGAAATACTTGTACATCATAAATAGTTAAATCCTTTTCTGAAGTCATATATGTTAGACTTCAAATACCAAAATAGATATATAAATAAAATATACATATGAATAGTCACAGAATTAAAAATGTCACGACCCAAAATCCACTAGTTGTGATGGACCTAACCCATCCTGCTAGGTAAGCCAACCAATAACTATCCAATTTCTATAATTCAATTAAGCAAAGGAATTTTCTGAATCTTTTACTTTTCCCAAGGACTGGTAGTACAAATCATGAGCTTCTAAGAATAGAGTTTACAAAGTTGATATGAAGAAAATACATCTTCTGTTTGAAAAGTACATAAACAGAGTTTTTATAATACTAAGGCTACCATGAACAAGAGGCAGCTACAACAAGGACACATGTACACCGTCGAATCCAGCTCCCGCCATGCACAGCAATATCGGCATCTGAAATCTGCACGCAATATGCATGAAGTCTAGTATGAGTATAACTGACCCCATATACTCAATAAGTAACAAACCTAACCTTAGGTTGAAAGTAGTGATGAACTGGAACAAGGTCGGGTCCAACACCAATAACCAATAGCAGTCCATAAAAATGTAAAGCAAGTAAATAAAGAAGTAGCTCAGAGATAAAATGCTTAACTTTTTTTTCCATAGTTTTCCGAAACAATTTCGCTTTTCAAGTATATCAGTGAAAATCCAAATCCTTTACCGAAAGCGTCTAAAATATGAGAAAGTTTGAAGACTATAATTTTTTCCAAAAAAAACTTTTCATCAAGTAAATGTTTTATTTTCTGATAGCATGAGGAAAGTACATCTCTATGCCTACATGTCATGATACAAGTAAAAATCATGAATGTCAGTAAAACCGAGCAGCAAAGAAAATGCATCTCTATGCATGTATCTCAAGTACGTATGTCAATGCAATGCCTGATGAACTCATGTACTCACATTCTCAGAGTACTCAACCTCACTGTCTCGCATTATCTCTTACCATGCCCAATACTCAGCACACTCAATCACTCAGCACTGTACAATACTCGTTACGGCGTGCAACCGGATCCATATATATATATAGCCATAAGGCTCGTTGCGGCGCGCAACCCGATCCATCTACATATACATAGTCGACTGCGCTCACTGGGGGTGTGCAGACTCCGGAGGGGCTCCTTCAACCCAAGTGCTATATCGCTGCAACGTGCAGCCCGATCCCATAATATCACTCTCACTCAGGCCCTCAGCCTCACTCAAGCATCAAACTTTCAGGTCTCGCTCACGGGCTCACAATGCCATGAAACTAGCCCGACAATAATGATATGAGTTATCAATAAACAACAACTGAGACTGAGAGATGATATGTACGCATGAATATGACTGAGTATGAAATATCAATGAAATCAGTGAGATGACAGCAAGAGACGACCTCTATGGGCCCTAACAAGATCATCATAAAGCTTAAACAGGATATCTAGCATGATTGTTAGCTCAGTTACTTAATCACATGGTGAAGACACATATATCAACAAAACAGGGTCACTAAACAGTGCCATGGAACAACGAAGTCACAATTCACAGGGTGCACGCCCACACGCCCGTCACCTATCATGTGTGTCACCTCAATACCAATCACATAACACGTAATTCGGGGTTTCACACCCTCAGCACTAAGTTTAGAAGAGTTACTTATCTTAAACAAACCAATTCCAAACACCGAGCAAACCAAGCGATGCTCTAAGAATGCCATCTCACGCGTAGCGACCTCCGAACGACTCAAAACTAGTCAATAACAACTCAAATACATCAGATAAAGCCCAAGGAAACAATTACAAATGATAAAGATCGAATCCTAAATCAAATCCCAAATCCAGCCAAAAATTACACCCGAGCCCGCACCTCGGTACCCGACAAAACTCATAAAATCCGACAAGCCATTCAATTACGAGTCCAACCATACTAGTTTCACTCAATTCCGACTCCAATTCGATGTACAAAACTCAAAAATTCATATTATGATACTTTAGGCCAAAACCCCCAATTTTCTCTTTCAATTCATCAACCAATTGTTAAAAATGAAGATGGGTTCATGAAATATAATCAAAACTGAGTAGAGAACACTTACCCCAATCCTTGTGATGAAATTTGCTCCAAAAATCGCCTTAATCCGAGTCCCACATCTCAAAATATGAAGAAAGAACCAAATCCTCGATTTATAGCTTCTGCCCATCAATTTCCGCATTTGCGGACAATAGGTCGGATCTGCGACTCTCGCTTTTGCGGAAAAGGACTCGCATTTGTGAGACGGCCGCTTCTGTGATGGCCATGACCGCACCTGCGGTCGCGCTTTTGCGCAATCACCTCCGCATTTGGGGACTTCTACCCCCTCAGCGAAATCCCGCTTCTGCGATGCTGGTTCGCTTCTGCGACCATCGCACCTGTGCTACACCAATCGCATATGCGGAACACCAGAACCAGCAGCTCCTCAGCAATGAAAATATGAAGAAAAATAATCTGAACCTCGTCTAAACCACGCCCAAGCCCCTCTGGACCACGTCTAAACATACCAACAAGTCCTATAATATGACACAGACCTACTTGAGGCCTCAAAACACATATAACGACATCGAAACGAGGAATTACACCTTGATTCAAAAGTCAATGAACTTGAAACTTCAAACTTCCACAACTGATGCCGAAACCTATCAAATCACGCCCGATTGACCTCAAATTTTGCACACAAGTCACATTTGACATTACGGACCTTCTCCAACTTTCGAAATCGGAATTCGACCCCGATATCAAAAATTCTACTCCCGGTCAAACTTTCCAAAATTCCAATTTTCGCCATTTCAAGCCAAATTCCACTACGGATCACCAAATCACAATCCAGACGCGCTCCTAAGTCCAAAATCACCCAACGGAGCTAACAGAACCATCAGAAATCCAATCCGATGTCAAATTCTAAAAAGTCATACTTGGTCAATCCTTTCAAATTTAAAGCTTCTAGCTGAGAATCATTCTTCCAAGTCAATTCCGAATCACCTGAAAACCAAAACCGACAATTTACATAAGTCGTAATACATCATACGAAGCTACTCATGCCCTCAAACAACTGAGCGAAGTGCAATGCTAAAATCGACCGGTCAGGTCGTTACAAAAAATTACCTCGTAGTCAAGATAGATGCAAAAAGTTAAACCTGAAACAACAAGAAGAGAAATGTAACACGAAAGTTTTCAAGGGCTGAAACAAAGAGACAAAATTTACATGAAAAAGAAGACACTATATGTGGGATTTTAGATGAACATAAATGGTCCTTGGATAAACCGCCTCTCTTATGCTGATGGTTTAGTTATCTTTTCATCTAGAGACAAAAAATCAGCCAAGAGAAAATTAACTTGTGAAAGACCTTATTTAGTGTCTTTGTGAAAGACTTTGTTGTGTAACTTGTTGATTGTTTGGTTGTTCTCACCCCTACCTACTGTGGGAGAAAAAATGCAATTATTTGTCTTAAGAAATTCATTGAATAGGTATAAATTCTTACTTCAGAACCCAGTAATATAAAAATGGCTAGAACATCGAACCCAGTAACTTCAAATTCTGGCTCCGCCTCTGAAAGGAGGTGGAGGTTTTAGATCCCTGGAGTACATATCACAACATTCTTTATGGCTAAGAAAGGTGGAGATTGAAATTCTTTTTCCATTGAAAAATCCATATGAAGAATTGGCACGAGTTACCTAAATATGATAACTGATAAGAAAAGAGTCTGATCCCATGTTGAACTACGTAAGTGTGTAGACTGAAATTCAGGACATGCAAATTAAGTTTCAACACTGCTTTAGAGAAGCTAACTCGGTGGCTGATGCGTGCCTTACTGCCTTAGCTAAATTCAGAAGCAAGGTACAGGATCACTCCACAACTATATATTCAGCCATATAATACAGTATAACACGATAAATTATAGAATGATAGGAAACAACAATTCATACAAGCTGTAACTAAACTTTAATTCAAAATGCATATATATATATATATATATATATATATATATATATACTACAACTCTAACTTTACATTTAACCAAATCCAAGTAATTTTTTTTATACATCTTTCAAAGCTTGTTTTTATACCAAAAAACATCTATATCTTGAGATCCTTCATCTTTCTCAACATAGATGCACTCTTTCGAATCTCTCCATATTGCCTTATAAAACGGGGTACCATCAAATTGGTAGTACTCTCCTAGTAATGGCTTGATTGCTTTGGTTGCCTCCGTTGCGTGATAATGTGGCATGGTGGTGAATAAATGATGCAAAACGTGAGTATCTGTAATGTTGTGAAAGACCTTATTTAGCACACTGTCACGACCCTAACGCCGGTGGTGATGGCGCCCAACACACTGCTAGGCAAGCCCGACCAATTTAACAACCTTAATCCTTTTTATGCAGTTCATGATTCAATTAACACAAATAATTACTAAGTCATAATACTGAAACTCTGAAATATAGTTAAAACATGCGGAAAACCCAAGTAGAAATACTACTACTACACAGCCCGAAGAATCCGGTGTCACAAGTCTGAGCCTCTAATACACGGGTGTCAACCTACTGTATTGCTCTAAAGAAATGCGAAACTAAAGCAAATAGGTTAGATGGGAAGACTGCAGACGTCATGCAGTTACCTTGATGTTCCCGGATATGATGCTCGGCAGAGAAATCCTCACTCAGCCTCAGTGGTTGCACCTAGATTTGCACACAAGGTGCAGGGAGTAATGTGAGTACTTCCAACCCAGAGAGTAATAAACATAAACAAGGGTTGAGAGTAAGAAATCCTGGATAGGCACAATGTAAGCTATAATTACAGCAGTTTAATCCAGATAATATCAACTTAATAAACCAATGAAAACAATGATGCTGCAACAGATAAGTAAATGAATGACAATCAATTAAGAAATGCAACAAATAGTACGGTACTCTCTAGTACCCGCTGCGGCGTGCAGCCCGCTCCATTTATTTATCGTCGACGGCGCTCACTGGGGGTGTGCAGACTCCGGGAGGGGCCCCTTACGGCCCAAGCGCAATATCAAACCATCTCGTGGCATCCATTAGGGCCTAAGCCTCATATCAATATCAATATAATACTGCTGCGGCGCGCAGCCCGATCCCACACTCAGTCCAGAATTATGTAAGCCCCTCGGGCACAATAATATATAAATATTCAGCCCAAACTTCATTATAAATTTTATTTAAGTTCCATATTTGAGAAAAATGGGCTGAGTTTGCAAAACAGTACCAAGTATTAGGACGGAGTTCAATTATATGTAAAAATGGTAAGAAACCAGTAAGTGCAATCCCTGAAGGATTCAATCAGTTGGCACGAGGCCAAATTATGACAATTAATCCATTTTTATAAGGATATCAACTAAGCTTCAATCAATTAGGTAGTAATTTTATTAAGCGGGACGGACCAAGTCACAATCCCCGACGGTGCTCTACCCCACGCCCGTTATCCGGCGTGCAAGTCACCTCACATAGCACTACGATGTGCAAATTCGGGGTTTCAAATCCTCAACACAGCATTTACATCTATTACTAACCTCAAGCCGGCCAAAATCCTAGCTCGCTATGCCCTTGCCTCTCAAATCGACCTCCCCGCGTGTCGAATCTGACCAAAACCACAACGAATACGTCACATTATGCTATAGGATCAATACCCAATCGAAAATAATCGAAAAACATCAATAATCCCGAAATTGACAAAACCCGAGCGTCGGGCCCACTTTTAGAAACTCAGAAATTTTTACAGAAAAGTGTTCTTCATCTTCTCCCGATTTCGTACATATAAAGAACACCAAAATCGGAGTCCGTTTGACCCCTCAAATCGACCCCTAAAGGTCTCATAATCTCAGGCCCCAAAATCCTATTTTTCTACTGTTTTTCATGAATTAAAGGCTGGGATTGTGGTCTATAATCTCCCATAAACGAGTTTTAATAATCAAATCACTTACCTGTGTGATATCCACTGATTTTCTCTCTTAAAAATCGCCTTAGAAGCTTCTTCCCGTTCAAAAATTGGAAGAAAACTCGACCTGCTCATTATAGGTATACTGTTCACGCGTTTTACTGCTCCCAATGGATTCCTTGTGAAATTCTAATGAATTTAGGCTTTTGAATCACTCAATTTGACCTTATAATGAAGGAGATATGTAGGTTTTAAGATTTACAAATAGTGCAGGTTTTTAATACGCCGTCAGGGGCAATTTCGTTATTAACCTGAAATCTGGGCAACCATGGTAAAATGGTCATAAAATCCTCATACGATGTCCAAATTCGACGATTCTTTTTGCTACGGGTCCGTAATTACGATACAGATCTAATGATTCTTTCAAAACAGTAATCGGATCTCATTTGTTCAATATGATATCATTTATGCTTGAAGTAACGGCGTCGAAGCATAAGAAAAACGAGCACAACGCAGCCCAAACCTATCCGAAACTCACCCGAGCTACTCGGGACCGCATACGAACATACTAACACGTCACATATTATCATTCAAACTTAGTTGCACTCTCAAAACACCAAAACTAACATCAAAACACCAAATTTACATCGGATTCAAGCCTAAGTTCTTCTAAAACTTCCGAAACACGCATTTGATCAAAAACCCAACCAAATCACCTCCGAATAACCTGAAATTTTGCACACACATCCCAAATCACCTAACGAAGCTACAGCAACTCTCGGAATTCCATTCCGACCCTCGGATCAAAATCTCACCTATCAACTGGAATTCGCCAAAATACTAACTTCGCCAATTCAAGCCTAATTCTACACCGGACCTCCAAATCACTTCCGCTCACACTCCTAAGTCACAAATCATCCCCCGAAGCTAACCGAATCGTCGGAATCCACATCCGAGCCCTCTAACTCATAGGTCAACATCCGGTTGACTTTTCCAAAACAAGCCTTCCTTAAAGAGACTAAGTGTCTCATTTCCTTCCAAAAATCAACCCAATTCAACTCGTTCACACAAGACACTGATAATGAAGCATAACGAAGCAGGAAATGGGGGAAACAGAGTGGTTCTCATGAGACGACGGGTTGGGTGGTCACATCCCC